AAAAGTTTTCCTTCCCTCGCTCTCCATCATCCTAAAGACTGCGGTTAATCTTCCTCCCAGGCACTGCAATAATGTTCACCATTGTCCTTATTCTTCTGCTTAAACTCTGTGCACCAAGTTGCCAGCTGAATCCCAGGTGGGATGATGACGTGGACGTGCTGCCGAGATCTGAAGGCTCCAAATTACACTATTTTCCATGTGCTGTTACATCAGTGTCAAGGTTTATGGGGTTCAGAGTTTATTTATTTGTTTTGTCATGGAATTTAAATTTCCTCTTACGCAAGTACTTAAGACAACCTTGTGTGGCAGCACCGAACTCTGCAAAGGGCAGAAAGCTTTGACACATTCAAAGCCATGTTTGCTACAACTGTTCTTTAGGGTGTGGTCAAAATGGTCAAACGGTCAGAGAAAGTGTCCTTCAACTTGTGTGCCTGCGGTGAATTTTGTGTGTTAGTACCCAGCCACATAGCCAAAGTGTCCTTGAATAGTCACTAGCTTGAGGGGTTGTTTTTTTTCACTGATATTGGCAGCGAAACTCATCTTTTCTGTATGGGGAAAAAAAGGAGCCAAGTTTTTGTCTTAAAGGAACACCTAAAAATGTTAATGGGGATGGTTTGTGTAATCTGAAAATCATAATCAAGCTGGTTAAGGCTTTAAAGCAAGACACTTTTGAATGGCTTTTTTGTTTTGATATGTGGAAAACAATGAATATCATTAACTTTATGCAGACAAATGTGTCAAGAAAGCACATCGCCTATAAGCACAAATAGAAACTATGAAGCATGCCAGGGTTTCTATTGGAAAACAAGGGCTGTCACTAAAAAGTTTATATCCAGGCGGCTACATGACTTTTCTGTGAGCTGATGGTGCCATCATGTGGGGGAAAAAAACAAAACATTATTCAATATTTTGATTCATGTGTCTTAGAAGTGTAGGCAATGTAAACGGATTGATGCACTGTATGTAAGGATAAAATGTAGCTACTCTTAGGTGTTTTGTTTTTAGCAGCATTTATACAATTAAATGTATAAGAGAGAGTGTGGATCTAAATCCATTACAAATGAGACTACTGGTCAAATATCCACATCTAAATCAATCTGAAAATGAATGAAAAGGTAAATTCTCTCACTTGCATTTCAGTAAGACATGAATATATATCTCATAATTTCAAATGACATGCTGTGATATACTTCAGGCAATTTAATTCTGTTAATATTAATAATTTTGGCATACAGCTAATGCAATTTGTTTAAAGAAAAAAATCAGAATATAGACATAAGGCTGATAAAAAAAAAGTATTTTATTACAAAAATATTGTGCTTCTGCTGTACGTTCATAAAAAAAAGTCTTATGACTTGAATGGTATGTAGGGTAGTAGACAGGCAAGCCCCAGGGTGGGGAAATCACAAAGAAAAAAGCTTTACTAAAGAAACTGGCTGCTCATTTCTTGCTAAATCCAAGCAAGTGTTTGGAAGGTCCAGTGGAAGGAAAAAATCTTAAAAAATGCACAGAATATCAAGGGGTAACCACATATTAGGAGGGTGAAGGTATAAAAGAGATAAAGGAGTGGACTGTCGCTTAATGTACCAACTTTCTGTTGTCTTTATTTTCTTTAGTATGTTGTCAAAGTTTTAAAACAGTGAGAATTTTAGGAAACCATGTCAGTTCCATGTAAATATTCTGCACAGTATGGATTCTTATGAGCTGTAAGACATAATTATCTAAACCGGCAGAAATAAATGCTTAGAATAAATTAATCTGTATCTCATGGATCTATATAAAATTTCTCTTTTCAGACTGAATTTTTGAAATAGCTATGTGACTATATTCTAACTGAGAAGTACTTGTAGCTTAGGATTTAAATTCAAGTTTAACCAAATATAAAAAACCTCTATGTTCTTACAAACTTAAACCAGAAGGTGGCCACCTTGTCACACATGTTTACAAAAGAAGTAATAACTAGATAACTATATAATTTTACCTAACACATATAAAAGGGCATTCAAATAATAAAAGTGACACATGGACCGTCTTATAAATAAAATAGCTACAAACGATGGAAAAAGTTATGCACAGATGTCACATTAAAAGAGTTGCCATTGGTGTGAATTATGCGTTATTGTTGGGTCATAAATAAGCAATATAACATGAGCTGAAGTGATTCATAGCACTTATTCATTGACCAAAGTGTGGGCATTAAGAAAGGTGGGTTGGTTTGGCTGAAGTTAAACATTACTCATCCTGTTGGGGCCAGACACTTCACAAACAATAAGTTTCCAACTTAATAATACCTCCAGTTTCAAGATATAAATGCTTATTCCTTCAAGTTTTATAACAACCAGAGACAAAAAAGGTTATAATAATAATAATAATAACAAGAACTTTAAAGCATGCATTTGTAACAATTAGACATACCCTATACAGTATATAAATGATTTTATATACTGTTTTTTTTTGTTTCATATTTTACATTACCAAGAAATGATTAGAAGTAAGACGGATTCGTCAAAAATAATCCTGCATTCTGTTTACAAAACTGTAAAACAGTTTTAATTTTAAAATGTTAAAACAGTATTAAAACATAACATACTGCGCTCAACATGTGCACTTATTTTCAGTCTTGACTAGTTCATTCACTAGTTACACTTAAAATTATGCAATCACATGCCTTTGACTTGTGCTCAATAAATGCATCTTAAATATAACTGTAAAGGGTATTAATAATTATTTTTTCTTTATCCATCAGGCTCTCGCTTAACTCTTGATCCTTTCCCATCCTTTCTTACCTCTATGTTTAACCTCCACACTATGACAAAAAACATGGCATATTTTTAACAGTGTTATATGCTGAGAATGCATGTTGATACCCAAATTCAATGGTTTGCTCTTTGATAGCCTAATATTCTGGGGCCTAACCAATAGCCCAGTTTTGCTATGTTTAATCAACTAAGGCCTGGATTGGTCATTGTCAGTAAAATATCCCAAGGTTTGCTTTGTTTTAAGACAATATAATATTACAAGTTGCTTGGATAGATTTTAATAATAAATTTTAAGCCTTTTAATTCTGTTTTGCAGTTGTAGATTACACATATAAATATGCTGATAAAAAAGCATTGATGAAGGTTTCTATAATCTATTATGACATAATCTTATTGTTAGTACAATATGTTTGCAATGGCAAAACTGTTTAGGTGTGATACTGGGCTACATTTTTTATTTTACTTTGTCATGCCTTGAAACTATTGGGGGCTGCACAGTGGTGGAGTGGGTAGCGCTGCAGAAAGAAGATTTCTGCATGGAGTTTGCATGTTCTCCCTGCGCATGCATGGGTTCTCTCTGGGTACTCTGGCTTCCTCCCACAGTCCAAAAAGATGACTGTTAGGTGAATTGGCTTCTCTAAATTCTCATTAGGTTTGAGTGTGTGCATGAATGGTTGTTTGTCCTGTCAGACTCTTTTTTTTATTTGTAGTGTTTTATTGTATTTATTTACTTTTGTGTACAGCACTTTGGTCAGCTGTGGTTGTTTTTAAGTGCTTAGCAAATACAATTGGATTGGACTAGAATATTCAGCCCTAGTAAGAACTCAGAACATCAGAATCCCAAGCTCTATGCCCTAAGCACTAGGCCACCACTCCCCACCTCTATAGGCTTCCCTTTTATGCCACTATTCCTTCAACTAATCATTCAGTCGTGTTGTTTCCAGAACACTCTGAATGGCCTACAAAATAAATTACTGTCATCTGTCAACAGAATTAAATGTAAAAATTTTAGACCTCTCACATATACAAAATGAAAAGCTTTGGTCCTAGCATTGTACCTAGGGGATCTCCACATGATATTTTAAGATCCGTTTTTCCACTTCTTATCTCTACAAATTGTTTTTGGTTAGTCAGGCAACTAGATACTCAGCCAGTTATAAACTGTCCCTCTCCATAGTTTCTTAAATCTGTAAATATATTTACTGTATTTTCTTCATTTAATCCCAGTCATGGAACAATGTTGATTTATTTGATCTGAACCCATACTGACTCCCACTCTGCAAATTATTCTTTTCAGTACAGTTAACTAATTTCTGAATAATATTTCTGTTCAAAAATTAGATAACCATAATATACGAACAAACCATTTTTCAAGCACTCTTCAAAATCGGGGGTTCATTGAGATTGGTTATTAATGGTAAATTAATGGTAAAAAAAAAAAGTGATGTCTATCACCGTTTTAAAATATTTTGTTAATTGCATTTTATCTGGAAATTTGCCAGTTTTGACAGAAAAATGTGAAAAAATGTTTTAAAAAATACATTCAGTTGTTTTTTTGTTTTTTTCTTATAACCATCATGTCAGTCCCAACACTATCATCATATGTTTTAGTTTCTCTTTTTCTCACTATAGTTAGAATTTCACTTATATCTATGAAAGAGGATTAGGGCCACTGAAAAAAAGAAAAAAAAAGTTAACAGATTTTTATTTTATTTCAGTATATTTCAGTATTTTCCAGTGGCCCTAATTCTCTTCCGTATATATATCTCCTAAAAAATGTATGAGAATTTATTCTGCCTTACTGCATATTTCCTACTTTTTTCACTTGATTAAACTCTGATTTCTGAGATTAAAGTCAGAATTCTGACAACCCCCCCCCCAGTTGACATTTTTTTTATTTTTTTTGAGTGGCCCTAATCCTCTTCCGTAGGCCTATATATGTACTAAAAAAATTATGAGAATTTCTTCTTTCTTACTGCATATTTTCTAATTTTTTTATTTCTTTTTTCACTTCATCTTCATTTCGTCTTCATAAAATAAGCTAGCTTTTGTCTTTTATTTACAAACTCGCGTTTAGAAACTTATATCGTCGTCATTCATTTGATTTTATTAAACATGAAGGAAGTTTTTTAAGTTAAAAGTACAAATGAGGGGGAAAAAGCACAGCAACATCTTCTTCACTCTGTTTTTAAACAAACTCACCTGTTAGTCAGCGTTACTCACCTCGTCTGTTTGGTCACTTCCTTCTACGTTTCCACCTCCTGTCATTTCCCTACCTGTCTGAACTGGGCGTGTTTTTATTTGTTCCTTCACTCCCGTTGGAACTTTTATTCCCCGATTCATTCCGCTTGAAAAGAAACTTTCTAATAATAGCTTCTTGGCAGAAAACGTATTTCAAGGTAAGAGCGCTTTTCTATTCAAAGTAACTTGGTCTAAAATCCGAGAGGAAAACGTCCCCCTTATGTTTAGCCGAGGACACCCAGGTGCGTTTCATTAAAGCTGGACTCCTCCATACCTGAAGCAGCAACAGTCCAGTTATAGGCCACCAGAGGAGCAAATACATGCTTATTACTCTTTGTTCAACCTAATCTGAAACTTTGTTGGTTTTACTTTTTCAAAATGTAAATCAGATGTAAAAACTGTGTTTATGCTGTCTAGTTATCTTAAATTTTTTATGTATAAAAGAAAACATTTAATAATGTTGTATTAGCCTATATCATATGTATTAAACAAAATATCAATAACTCAACTTTTCTGCTCCTTTTCTGTTGCTAGTGTAATATTCTGGGTGCCAGTCCACCATGCTGTAACACATCTCAACAAGTCTCCCCCAGCAGGCTCACATTTTTAACTATACCCTGCAGCTGCACAAAGAGAATTGACTGTGTTCGTTAAATCTTTCAGCAGATCCACACAGTACTCACTTCCAGTGAGCTGTGTGGGACAAGAATGAAACATGTATTTGTTTTGTGATTACACTATAATCTAGGTTGGGTTGTGTCTATGTGTGCTTATTCACCCTTTTTCAGACATCTGATTAACAGAGCCTGGTGCAGTGTGGGCTGATTGTTGTTTTCTGTGTTCCCTCTTGCACCAGATTCGTGTCCCTGCTCGTCACATTCCACAGCCAGTATCCTCTGCTCTCCTCCCCCCATTCATCTCCCCCCTACTTACACGCTTCAAGTCTTTCATCTTTTCTCTCTTTTTATTAAAAAACACCCAATCGTCCTGCAGATCTGCCTCATTTCAGAAACTGAGTTTTGCAGTCTAATTGCTTTTTTAAGGGCTATGCCACCGTGGTTGTATGTTTCCCTGCTATTAAAATGTATTGGCTGATACAGAAGGAGCAGTTCAAGGGTCTGCAGTATCATTGCAGGGACACTGCAGTAGTGAGACAAAGTTGTTTCACAAGAGGCTGGATGCAGACTGCATGTGTCAGTGATAAGGTTGGGGAACATTTTTCACTCGAGATGTTTCCCAACAAAATACTTCAAGGGGAGACTCATCATGTTTTATTGATGCAAGAAACTGAAAACATTGTGTGTGTGTGTGTGTGTGTGTGTGTGTGTGTGTGTGTTTTTCCTTTTTGTGATGACTAATTTTGCCCCCATAATAATTAGCGTATAATTGTTTTTTTGCACTTCCATGTCTCTAAACGAAGCCATGCTCAAAGCTGCTGCGATTGGGGAAACATCATGGCAGCTGTCTGTGCAGGTGGATCAGAAAGAAGGGGACGAGTCCATGAAATTCAAACTCAGGGTGAAAGGTGACTTGCACATCGGAGGGCTCATGCTTAAGCTGGTGGAAAAAATCAGTAAGTTTAAAAAAATCAATGACAAGTTGCTCTAGCTTTGTTTATATTTGAATAGCTTTAAAAAACACACACATTCGTTTAAACTTGCCCATGTTTAGCGTTTAAATCTGTTATTTTGCTTCTCATACTTGCTGTATTTAACTTAGCTTTTTTCTGCTGCTACAGCTGTGTTTGTCGAGCCACGCCCTTTCTCTACACTGCTATGTTAGTCACAATGCTTTGGCATGTGAAGGGGGCAAAGTATAGTCAGAGCCTTATCTGATTTCTTCTTGAAGTCTTCCGTAAACAAGGTGGAGCTATTAAACGTAATATGAGGGGGGATTTTCGGTGAGTTAGATCAAACTCATGAGGCATTAGAGGATGACTAAACATCTTGTCATCAACAGATGGATTTCAGCCTAGTAATGCAAGATGATATCAGGTAGACTCATTAAGCCACACCACCTACACACAAGTGGGTACAAGGAGTATTTCTGCTGCCAGCAGTTTAAAAGTACATCAACTCTGAATAATAAACAGGTTTTCTTGGATAAATAAGTCAGCATCAACAGCCAAAGGGCTTGAAAGTAAGAAATATGAAAAAATTATGTCTTTTGTGGACAATAACTTCCTTTGTTATAGATTCCCCTTTAATATGTCAGAATTTTCCAACTACAAACCTAAATGTATTTCATTTGGGTTTTACGTGATACAGAAACACAAAGTAGTGGAAAGGGGAAGGAGTATGATCCACAGTGGAGCTGGGGTATAAAACCTCTTGGAGGCTTCTCTTTATACCAGGATACTGACCCTAAACATACAGCTATAATGGAACGATTTGGGTCCAAGCATAGTTATGCGTTAAAATGGCCTATTCCATGTCATTAGGATGTGAATTAAATTACAATACGATTTATTCAGATACAGAAACAAAGACTATATTATGATTTTTATAATAACTCAGCTCTGGAAAATCTCAGATCATGTTGTCTCTCTGCTACGGGCGGTGCAGAGGAGCTGAATAATAAGCTCTTGGTGGGTGCGCTGACGATGAGCAACTGCAGATTTAAATGTTTGTCTATGAATACTTTTAAACATTAAAGATCGTTTCAGCTGTATTTTAAATCAATACCAATATTGTCTGATGGAGTATCACAATAATTGACTCAATTTGATTTCTCATACACTAGAATAGAATAGCATAGAATAGAATAGAATAGAATAGAATAGAATAGAATAGAATAGAATAGAATAGAATAGAATATCCCTTTATTGTCCCACAATGGGGAAATTATTGTGTTACAGCAGCAAAAGGTTATAGCAAAAGTGGTCACACAAATGTGGACTTTAAAGTGTATAAAATTAACAGAAGAAGTGGCAGAGTTAATAAAATAAACAAATAAAATACTGTACTGTACAGTGCATCTGGAGAACAAAATAATCATTATACAGCCGTGGAAATTTTTACAGTATTGGATATGTGGAAAAAATAGCAGCAACACCAGAGATGTGCAAAAATGACAGCAGCATGTTATTTAAGTCATGTTGTTGGGGACAGTGATGGTTAGAGAGTCATATAGAAAGTCCATATTCGTCCATATGAGAATTCATCGTAAGACTTGAGAATAGATTTTCAAATTTAAATTAATCCAATCTCTCTGATTAAGACTCAAAAGACAAACCTAGTAGAGACATACAAGAGAAAACTTGCATCTTTCCTCTGTATTTCCTAAAAGAATATAATCTAATGACATTGATCACAATGTACAGCATATTTTTTTGTTAATATTTTAATTTTTAAAAACAAGAAAACAGCTTTCTCCTTTGCTCCATCCACAAAAATATTTTATTCTTGTCTATCACATACATTCCATTAGATGTATTCAATTTTTTTATGTGATAAATTGAAAATTTCAAATAACATAATCATTATTTTAAATAAATTACCTTACCCAATTTAGTGTAAATATGAAGGAATTTTAGATCCTACATGTAAATCAGCAAATAGAAGTTGTATTGTAGTGAAGCAAATTGTATTTTATATGTTTTCCTGTAGAGGCTCAACAGGACTGGTCTGATCATGCACTGTGGTGGGAACAGAGAAAATGCTGGCTGCTCAAAACTCACTGGACATTGGACAAATATGGGATTCAGGTAAACTATGAAAGCCCATAACATGACCCATATAACCTACTTACATGGGAATGCCTTTAGCCAAAGCAAGATAAGTAAATCCTGTTTGGGCTTGAAGGTTTCAAAGGTCTGGAGCTGTTTTTTATAGCTGACCTTGGAGGCTACAAACAGAATCATAGCCATCTTTAAACAGTCTGAAAGCTTGTTTATTACTGTGTTCAGTTGAGCACGAACCATTTAGTGTTAATAACATTAATATACCAAACCTTTACAGTGATTGTTTGGTAAATTGTGCACATTAATGGATAATAAGCTATTTAGGGACACTATGGAGCATAGTTATAACAAAAACAGTTGGAGAAATGTTTTTCTAAAACTTGTATAACTAATCTCCACAGGCTGATGCCGACCTGCGCTACACTCCTCAGCATAAACCACTATTGCTACAGCTGCCCAATATGAAAACCATCAGAATGACAGTCTGCTTCTCAAGTATGGTCTTCAAGGCGGTTGAGGAGATCTGCAGAGTTCTCAGTTAGTTCATAAATACCCAAACCTGGAATTTTTCAGCTCTGACTGAAAAAAATAAATCAAAATGACATGTACTGCGTTGTCTGACAATCTCAAACGTCTCCTTATTTGCTCCATTCTAGACATTAGAAGATCAGAGGAACTCTCTTTGCTTAAACCCCCCTATGATTCCGGTAAGAAGAAAAAGAAGAAAGACAAGAACTCAACCCAGGAAGACATCTGGGACATATGGGACTCACTTAACTTGGGAAAGGGAGGGACAGGTAATTCACAGCACATTGGTTTCTGGTTTGGTACAGCAGCTTATAGAGATGCATTGATCCTATGGTCTGATTGGATATGGGCTCAAATATTGGCAAAATAGCTGGAATGAATACTGGAGGAATGACACTGATCTAGCATCCTGATCCAGTCCTTATATTTTTATTGATATTATATGCAGCAATACAGTTACGCCTATCTGGTGATTTCAGTTTTATGATTGCAACACTAATTACATCATTGCACAGAGCGCACACAGCAGTTAGTGATGATTTATATCTGTCTTAATTTGTTACTTTTTTATAACAATGTTATTTATCAGGTAGGATGCCTTTACTTCCGTGGCAAAGAATACATTTAACTCATTCAACAGTAGCATTCGGTTCGTATTGGATATCGGCCCGTGTATGACTATCTAATCGGAAAAAGATGGGTCGGTGCATCTCTAGCATTTTAGCAGTAAAACTGGAAAATAATAGATTGATAGAAGTAATGCCTGAGGAATATTTTATTTCTTTTAAGTTAATATTTAGGGGATTCAATTAATATTTAATTCCAACTAAATCAAGAAGATATGGAATTGAAGTTAGTTTTATCAGTTTGATGTATCAAGTGCTAGAGTCAGCCTTTAATGATTCAGCGACATCTATATTTCCTTTATTTTCTTTCACATAGTTTATGCATCAAGATCAACTCTGGACATGCTTTGTTTTGCACAGGTACCAAAAGTACTATCATTTATAAATTCATGTGACTAAAAGGATTGAATTTCAACCTGGAGAGACTCATTCAAGTTGGAGAATCTGTCGACATGGAAAATATTATCCATGCACTCCTCAAATCTTATCATTTTTTAAACATTGACCAGATTAAAAAAATAAATAAATAAAAGTGCAGCTCACTAAAAGCCTTGTTGGGGGGAACAGCAAACTAGAAGTGGAAGAAAATGCTCTCTTTGGATTAGATCAAAACTTAGATCACACTATAAGGCATCTTAAACACACTGAATCCACCTAGAAACATGGTAGCAGAAGATACCTTGAGGGGGATTTTGTGCACCATAAACTGGGAAGCTCAGGAGAGTTGGTGAGAAGCTGTAGTAATGTGAGAATTAAAAGCTTTAAATCTGTAGGAAATTTAGGGAATTTAATTTCTGTCAATCTTTGATTGTCATTATGTATTGAGTAGTTTATGTCTAGCGTTTGTTTTCAGCATTGCTTTCTCATAATGAATTTTGTTTTATTGAGTCATTTCTGCTTACCTCCTACAAGTGAATGATCTATGGTCCTTTAGAACTACACAGTGAAGTCAAATCTTATGTTATATCCCATAACCTTGTTTGTGAATGTTGAATTATTATCAAATAAGGTCCCATGTACAATACGATGACGGCAACCTATGACCCAGAGAACGGAATGCCCATGTCTGCCACCAGCATTTGGTTTGGAGATAACCCCTTAGCTGAGGCTCAGCTAAACCTACCCCCGGCAGAGCTAAGCAAGCTTTACCAGCCGCAGTCACTTATGGACAAAGCGACCAACAATGCAGGGTAAAAACAAAAACCCTTCAGCTTGTTTTTTATATATGCTTTTATCCCTTCGTCATCCGACTGTTTGTTGACAGGTGGCTGAACTCCTCTCGCTCACTCATGGAGCAAGACATTCAGGATGACGACAAACTGTTACTACGCTTCAAGTACAATGTCTTCTTTGATCTCAACCCAAAAGTAAGATGGTGTTTTCTAATGGAACAGAAGATAAACATTTTATTGGTGGAAGTTCTCTCAAAGAAAAGATTTGCTGTCTTACTAAGATATTTTAGATCTAAACCAGCGTGTTTGTTTGTATTTTCAGTACGACGGCGTCAGGATAACCCAGCTGTACGAACAGGCCCGGTGGTCCATCTTGCTAGAGGAGATAGACTGCACAGACGAAGAAATGCTGATGTTTGCTTCCTTACAGGTGCTTCCTTACAGTTAATGCATTACTTTGTAAAGAAAATCCAGATTTACATCATAATAAACAAATGCAAATGGTAAATAAATAATATTTTACACAAATATACCTTAACTTCACAATTTAGAAAATAAAGCAGATCACATCTTATTCTTGTGATCTTTATTCTAATGTACAATTCTTAAAAAATACACTTGTTTAGATGATTTGGACATATTTTATAACCACTCACAGATTTAATATATTAATTTTATGGGTAAATTTTTTTAAATGATAATTTTTTTCCTAACCAAATCAACTAAAGGTGAATAATAAAATTCTTGCAAAAAGTATTTTAATACTCTTCTACCGCTGTATTTTTATGAAAATTCTTAGAGTGCATTAAACAGAGGTTGAATCCATGTACGAATTAGGTGACTTTTAAAGGCAGGATTTTGTTTAGTAGAAGCAGAGTAAAGGAGACTTAAAACAACTACTTAAAAAATATATATATTTTTGCTGTTTTGTTATTTTGTAGTTTTTAATAGAAAAGCTAAAAAAAATGCATCCTTTCTATCTCGTGTCACAATCATGCTTCTATTTTTTTTGTATTAAATAAGATCCCAATTATATACACTAAAATACTACAGTTTTAATATGAAGAGGTGGAATTAAATTTAAAAGGGCTGAATATTTTTAAAATGTAACTGCGTGGACTATTTGTTGGGCTTTGATAACATAATCTAAAGGACATATAATAATTGTTCTGTAATAGCACAAGCTTTGTGGACTGCATCTTTTCATATTGGCTACATCTTAAAAAACAACATCTGAGTACCTTTATGAAAGATGCTCCATCCTGAGCTGTAAAAATGTTAGTGTACTAAAACCAAATAGCTGAAATTGAATAACTTTTTAACAGGTAATTTACATCCAAGAACTGCACACTGCCCCACTCTGTTAAATGACAGTTTGTAATCATAAGTAAGTACGTCTTCAGGGCTACAGTAAATTGGGCTTAACTGATTTTGAGTAGGGCTACATAATTTTTGTATGTTTAAGCTTAGAATGGAGGATACTAGATTAGATATCTAAATATAAAAGTAGGCCTGTCAGGACATGAAAAAATATCCTAACCTGTCTGTGAAAATAAAGAGGAGGGATAGAGAGAAAGAGAGAGATCAGATTAGAAACAGAAGAGAGAAAAAAACTAAAGTTTGTTCTTGAAGAATTTTAGCCCCCCCAGGCTGCGAGTGCCAGGTTCTAACCCTACAGCCTGCCACTCTGGATCCCTGAGTTAGACCCTTAGCCCCAGATCTGCGCTCCAAGCTGCTTCCTAAGGAATGGGTTAAATTCAGAAGTCAAGTTTCGTTGTAATGCACATTTTCAGTTACCAACAAAGTTGATTGCTTGTATTCTAAACCACAGATTAAGATTAAGTGTTACAGCTATACTCAAATATCCTTTTTCATAACTACATCAATCTACTAAAAGAACCCCCTAAAGGTTTTGTAAGTAAGAAATCTGTCTTCGTCTTTGTTTGTAATCAACATAATCTTTTTCACAGTATCACATCTGCAAACTGACCACGTCAAGTGAGCCCATGGACAACTCCAGCGAGCCAGAAATCGACGAAGTAGAGGCTGCCTTGTCTAACCTGGAGGTGACCCTTGAAGGCGGCCACACTGACAATATCCTGGTAAATATATTTCTGGGAACCTTGAACTACTCGGGGCGAGCCAAGGGAAACTTTAGGCTAAAGATGAGTCACAACCAAACACCTGATTTAAGTTGCTATTAGTAGCCATGACTTCACTAATCATACCAGGAAGATGTAAAACAATGACTAAATGTTGTTTTGTTGCCTCCAGGAGGACATTACAGACATTCCAGAGCTGGCAGACACCCTTCGGCTATTGAGGTAAAAATTACCCTGATGCTTGATTATTGAGATTTATATATCTGCCACTAGCATTTCCTCTGTCCCTCTGTTTACACATATTTAATTGAATTACAGCAAGCCTATTGTATTTGCCTAAATGGTGTCATCAAAAGATCTAAATGTATTGTGGAAACAAATCTAATGTCACTCAAGCGTGTGTCTGGAAATGTTGTTATGACAAATTCAGCAGCTTTGAGACCATCTGGGTAAATGTTCTGCAGAGGGAGTCTGTGTTGATTAGAACACAAATTCAGTCTTACAAACTGTTAATGTTGTTTGGGTTTCCTAAATCCATGTGTGTCAAAACAGGCCCAAAAAGTTGACTCTACGGCCATTCAAAGAGTACTGGTTTGTGTTCAAGGACACCAATATCTCTTATTTTAAAAACAAGGAAGCCTCCATCGGGGAACCAATCGAGCAGTTTCACCTCCGAGGTCAGTGGCTCAAAGCATTAAACACTCATTTATTCGAGTTTGGCTATTTTTAACTTGTTTTTGATCAATCTTTCCAATTTGTTATTTTATAATATATTGAAAGAATAATGTTAATATTGTTGTATTCCTTTAGCAGACTTGGTGAAACTTGTCAGAATTGATTGAAATATGGAAGAAGCTAAATAAGTAGTGCTTTTGCTCTTGGGTGTATTTAATTTTCTTTATCTTGAATTAACAGGATGTGAGGTGGTCCCAGACGTCAATGTCACAGAGAAGAAGTTTGGCATCAAGCTCCTGCTTCCAGTTGCGGATGGGATGAATGAAGTGTATATCCGATGTGATAATGTAAGAGCCCACTTTCTCACTCAAGGGTTTTACTGTATTTATCTTAGTTAATTAATTTTTTTATTACTGGCATGAAGTAAACTGTTACACATGTAACTCTTGATGGACTTTCTTCTCGCTGGTGCAGGAAACACAATATGCTAAGTGGAAAGCTGCATGCATTCTAGCATCTAAAGGCAAGACGATGGCCTACAGCTCCTACAAGTCTGAAGTGAGAAACATCCTGTCTTTTTTGCAAATGAAAAGCCTGGCGCCCCCTCCTGGTCAGGAAGCTCCGGACCTTGATGCCATGGAAATGAATGCTGAATGTTTTGTTTCCCCTCGCTACACCAAAAAGCACAAGACCAAGCAGGTTTGTTTGACACATTCCTCGAGTATATCTGATGTCAAATGTTATTGCTAATTCTGCTTCTTATGGCTGGGTAAAGCTGACAGCACGGATCCTGGAGGCCCACCAGAACATAGCAAAGCTCTCTTTGGTTGAGGCCAAGATGCGCTTTATCCAGGCTTGGCAGTCACTGCCAGAGTTTGGCATTAAGTACTACATTGTCAGGTAGATGGCACATATTTTGGTACCATATAAAATGGCATTAAACTTGATAAATAAATGTTTTCACAGTTTCATGTATTTTGTTCTCAGATTCAAAGGTAGCAAGAAGGATGAAATTCTGGGGATTTCATATAACCGAATGATTCGTATCGACATGTCCTCTAGCTTGCCTGTGACTACTTGGAGGTTTGCCAACATGAAGCAATGGAACGTCAACTGGGAAATAAAACAAGTGAGAAATTGGCCCCTTACATAGAATGATATACTTTCTGAGTGTTTATCCCCAAAAATGGCTTCACAAAGCTGCAAAAACCAATTCTATATTGTATGTGATTTCAGGTGACCATAGAATTTGACCAGAATGTGAGCATTGCCTTCTGCTGTGTGAGCTGCGACTGTAAAGTGGTCCATGAGTTCATCGGGGGTTATATCTTCCTATCCACACGATCGAAAGACCAAAATGAAACACTAGATGAAGAACTATTCCTTAAACTTACTGGAGGCCAAGACTGACCAAGGAAAAACTTGACCCACCCCTTTTGTACTGATGTTCTTGTCCGTATTGTCTAAAACGACTGTTGCAATGTTAACCATAGGTGTAGAACAAATCACTGTGGAGGAAAATGAACAATAGGGCTATATCATGTTAACACATTTTCCTTCACAGCCCCATATCCTGATTTTATCATTTTTTTGCCATTTATACACAACATAATGACTCCAATGTAAATATGTAGCAAGGATTGTCTTTTTAAAACATGGATGAACTGATATGTATGATAAGGTTGCTGTTTTGAACATCAAATAGGTGTGTTTCCTCCAATAAAGTGAGACGACATTAAAATCAATGGAGGGATTTCAAGTGAATTATGTTTCATTGCTTTTTTTAAAATAAGTTAAATAAATTTCAGTCCTCCATTTTGGTAAGCTATGTTTACCATGATGAGATGTAGCAAATATTTAGAACTAACTGTTGACTTATCAAATCACTAACTATACAGTTAAAAGTACACTGTTCCGTATCAGATGTTTAATTTGAATAAACATCTTTAGATAAGTTAAGATCAGATTAGGTATTTCTATTTTATAGATGCAGGAATAATTAGAGGGAGACAGTTTTTAAATAACAAATTCAGAACTGTACACATATTTTTGCTATTTTTTTCATAGCATAGCTTAAACTGTGCAACTTTGGTCAAATGTTTTGAGTATCCATCTGAAAATTTCTCACAATATTACTTTTCACACACCCACCTGCTAAACTATGGACACTATTTTCTATAAGACTGAGACCAGACATTTGGGATGGTCGCCCCTAAAACACTTAATTTATCTACTTGGAGAATAATTTTGTGGTATGTTTTGTGCTTTTGTGTTCAAGATTTACCTTGCTGATTGGATTTATAATTTTTTTTAAGTTGCCACAATATTTTCACAATAATGATGATTATATCTACAGTATTTGTTCTTGGAAGGGCAGTCCCTCCTGCAGAAAAGCATCCCAGCAGCAAAATGGCGCCAGTTCCGATATTACAATTAGGGATGGTGTGCACAGGTTTGTAATATCCCCCCTATGTTTAGACAAGTAACACTCATTTTATTAGAACAAAATTATTTTCTGGTAGTATCAGACCACAGGACATATCTCCAGTATTGTTGGTTTTACCCTTGGTGTACTTCCTAGCCTGGCTTTTATTTTTCATTTAGGTCTGAAGCTTCTTTCTCTCTGAGTTGTATCTCAGCCCATGTCAGTGCCTGACAGTTTAAAGGTAGATGATACAGACACATTTAGCTCCAACACTCATTTGTCACAAGGACACAGAGCTAATCTCTTTTGGTTATGATGGCTGAACATTACCCTGATGCTCTAGATTTAAGTTAGGTTGGATTACTATGGGATCTTCACACACCTGACTGAATAGATGGACCAAATATGTGGGCATTTAAGGTTATCTTTCGGAAATCTTGTCTGATTTCCTTGAATTTTACCATGATCTGACGACTTAAATGAAGATTACAAAGCCATGTCTTTACAGTTTTTTTTAGAGCTTTCATAAACTCTCTAAACCTACAGTCACCTTAGTTTGTGAACCTCCAACTATTAATGCTAATGTTCTTTTCTGGGTTCTGACAAACCTAAACTCATCAAAATAAAAAAAAGGTGTTGTGATATTTCTACACTTTTCTGATCACTACTCTACATCATCATTACTCCTTCCTTGTTCTATATGCCAAAAGAATAACGTTAATTTAGGGATTTTGCCTTTGACCAGCATCACTAAATCTACAGTTCATCCACATTATATATAGCTCAGCATCTACCAAGCAATTAATAATGTTTCTCTTCAGAGGAGGAGTATAACGGATTTTAATATATTTTCTTGAGTGATAAAATTTTTGAGCAGGTACAATTTTTGCAGGAAATCTTTTATGGTTTAATCTATTTGGAATACAGTCAAAACTACAGTAGATTAGCTGCCATTAAGGGAACCCCTTCATCATAATCAGTCTGTCATTGAAACTTTGTACATTTCAATACAATTTTCTGTTTTTGTATTTAACCCATTTCTTAGGTAGCAAAGGATACCCTTTGTAAAACTTTTAATTTGACCTTAAGCTCTCAAGTGTCTAAATTCAGCATGGAAACGTCTAACTATTCTACAAGACTTGGGGAATAGTAGTCAAGATTTTGGATTAGTGTTTCAGTTTGGAAGCCTATAAAGCTTCTTATAATAATTCATATAGACTTAGACTTAACTTTATTTATACCTTGGGATTACTCCTTCGGGGAAATTCTGGTTCCAGTAGCTTAAATAGAGCACAAAGGGCAGAGTTAAACCAAGATACCACTAAAGATAAAAATACAATGGACAATATATTCAGACAATATAATAATATATTTTACAGACTGCCACCCAAAGTCCCTGAGCATGATATTTATAGTCATCTGCCAATGATCCTTGTGAAGTATGTTGATTACTTTCCAAACACAGATATACTCGCTGTAAAATTTGCACTTTCTAATATATTTGCTGAGGAATTGCACCTACTAGTAGGATATGCCAAGATATAAGACTATAAGATCAATGCTGGGACATTCTTCACCCTGTTTATTTTATTTTTAGTTAGATTAATTGTAGGAGCACCCTAAAAACCTGACAAAGAGGTGTAAAAAATAAACGTTTGCATAGATATGTATCTAAATGCATAAACATTGCAATTGTTTGCCCTATGCCTTAACTAAGGGAAATGTCTAAGGATGGGTTAATATTATAATAGCACTGTATATGAATTTTAAGTATATACACATTGCTGGCACATGCCCTCTCAAAGCTGACTAAATATTTATTTGGACATGCAGAAAACCCTGCATTTTCATTTATTTTATTAACATTTCACAGTTTAACTCTCCTCTCGCGCCAATTGGCCAAAAGATTGACTGACATCTCTCTAGCCAATCAGATGCAGCTTTACTCATACGTCATTCCAACTACAGCCCGCCTTCCTTTAATAAGTCCTCGGAAGCTAGGGAAGTGGAAGCTAACACGTGGGAATAACTGTTTAGGGCAGCTTTGTTTATGCTTTAGTGTTATTCAGTGCCTTTTTGTGACTTTTCTTACTAATATAGCGTTATAATTGTTGGCTGAATTTGTTGTTTATGTGTCTGCTGTGTTTCTATGCTGGTCCGCATAGTTTATAATGGCGCACAGTGAAGATGATTATGAGTACAGAATCAAAGAAGGGGATCACATAGTATTAAAAAGAGGAGACGTCTACAAAGCGGTGCAAATTCAACGGAAAAAGTAAGTCTGATATGTTGTAATAAAAATAAATAAACACCAGCGTTAATTCATTGTTGGCTAATTATAAAAGGGGTAAATCGGCTGTTTATCTGGTGGAGGACTAAAGGCTGTTTCACACACAGGAAGGTGATATTTGAGAAGCAGTGGATCTTGCTGGATAACGTTGTGGGACATTTATACAGCACCACATTTGAGATATCCTCTGGAGGAACCCTGCAACCAAAGGAAGACGAGGAAACACAAAGCTCCACAGGTGTGTCATACAGTGGACACCTAGATTTAAACCCTGTGTGCATATTTATAACATTTCAGACTATTTTTGGGGCTGTGGATCACTCTATTTGTGGGAGACGTCTAATGTATCGATTAAGGCTGAAACAATCAGATTAATTGATTATTGAAATAAATCAAATCATTTAGTAATTGATTAATCGTTAACTGCAGTTTAGAGACTCTAAAACATGCCTTTTGCTGACAGAGCGAACCAATTAGAGCAGTAATTATACCAAAGTTGTAAAAAAAAGATATGGAAATATTATGCATTTAAGTTAAAGATCTTTTTCTTCTATCAATATGCTCTATCCAGAACTCCTCAAGTGCAAAAAGTATTTTTTAAATAACCTTTTGATATCCGATTATTAATCGATTAATCAGAAAATAATCAACAGATTAATCGATTTGCAAAATAATTGTTAGCTGCAGGCCTATTATCGATACTCCAATACTATGGATTCTATATTCATTTGTCAAGGTATCAAGTGTTGTTTGCATTCTTTTGCTGCAGTATATTTTAGGTTTTTAGTATTTGCTAATTAAAAGGATAATACTCTTTCCAAACTTAAAATATTGTCCAATTTTCTCTGATTTAACTAAAAATAAATGCTCCATGTTAAAATAAATGTGATTTTTATTTTTTTATTATTATTTTTGATAAAGATTTTGATATTTGATATTCCTTTGGTATCAAATACTTTCCACAGTATTAATATGAATATTGAAATGTTAGTATGGGGGGGAAACCCTATTGTGAGACTTCTCTTTGTGGCTCCTAGATGTGAAGGTGACGGGAACAGACAACAGACACATTGTTGATGACGGCAAATCCCAGAAACTGACTCGGGATGACATTGAGACGATGAAAGAGCAAGGCCTAACGGATAAGGTAAATGGGAAAGTACCTTAGGGAGAATTGGAATTCCTAATAAGTTTCCAGGTAGGCCATTCATTATATGCTCTGTGTCCTATGTAAAGACAGCTTCTTTTAAAAAGAAAATGTATATTCAGAATTAGAGACTTCTGAATATACATTTTGTACATGTGTGAGATTGTGACCACATTCCAATAATAAACAATTTAAATCTCTGACCAGAAGAGATTTAATTGGATGTTTTGTTTTTCTCTAACAACTATGAAAAAAGACAACTTTTTTTCTTTTCTTTCCGAATGAATTGAAAGAAGAACTTTTTAAACAATAAACTGCAACTTAAAAAAAAAAAAAAAACACCACTAAGTTACAAATCACTAAAAAGAGAAAGTTTATGGGATAAATAAAATAAGTCCCAAGTAAAAATCCTTTCATTTTATTTAATCATTCATGAGAAAGATTATAGTCCCATTATTACAAAATAAATGTCAAAATTAAGAGGAATAAACTATGATTTGTAAAATTGCTAAATCTTTTATTTTCTCTTCTGAGGAGCTTCCAGGAACCTTTCTTTCAAGATTGATCATTTCTATTTGTTTTTTTTGTTTTTTTTCCCTTTTTGGACTAGAGGGGACATCACACCATATGTGAGAAGGAGAAAGCAAGCAGTTTTTCAGCAGGAAAACATGATTCCCTTTATTTCTAAACAAACCAATTGCAACAGATACATTTTAAACTGGCTTTAATGTGTCCAACTGTATAATAATAATAATTTTACTGTGACTTCCGAAAGTCTGGAAATGCCCTATTTAACATGATTCATCACATACATGATGCTTTTCAAGATAATCAAACATAATAAGTTAATAATTCTGTATCCGCTGACTAATAATTCCATATTATGAATTCCTAAATGAACAACATGACATGCCTCCATAGCAAAGAGCTTTGAGGTGTTTAAACACCGAACTGATACAGAAAACAACTGAACTTTCTTCTGTTACCAACATTTTATCATCCAAAGGTGGTGTTGTTTATGCAAACCACAGAAGTTAAGGTTTTGTATATTCACTGATTAGATAAAGGCTGGACTATTTATTTATTTTTTAAGTCTGTCACATTTAAAATCCAATGCTGGTCACCTCCGATTCAAAGTGGATCTATGGTTAATATTAAAGGAGAGTTAATACAAATATTTTTGCACCTCAGGAAATCATCAAGCAGCTGATAGATAACAGCTCGACGTTTAGCAATAAGACTGGATATGCCCAGGATAAGTACATAAAGAAGAAGAAGAAAAAGTGAGTCACTAACACTTACAGACTCTAGATGCAGCCATAAAATGAATGTAAATGTGTTAATGTTGCTGTTCTCATCAGTTACCATCATTTGTGCTCCTAGATATGAAAATACAGTAACGGTTCTGAAACCGACCTGTCGCATCATAGCCATGATGTACCACGGCCGCGAACCAGGGAAGATCTGGTGAGAATCACCCTCGTTAAGAGTTTTCTCACACATCCGTATGATAATAACTCTATTTCTGGGGGCGGGGTTTAATGTGATGCAGCCATCTACGATATGACACTCTGGCGCAGATGCTGACACTAGCAAACATCCACGCCGGCAGTAAAGTTCTAGTATTTGACACCTGTGCTGGGCTTGTACTGGGAGCCATTATGGAGAGAATGGGAGGCAAGTTTTCTTTAGCAATCTGTGTGCACTATCCATTTAAGCTTTTTTTTTTTTTTTTTTTTGCACAAGCTATCATTGTAGACTTTGACCAATGCCTCTGTTTTACCCTTTAGTTAATGACTTCTTCCTCCCTTTCCATCCAGGCTATGGATCAGTGATCCAGATGTACCCAGGAGGTGGGCCTGTGCGGGCGGGGATGGAGTGTTTTGGCTTCCCTGCACATTTTCACGATATGCTGCATGAGTTTCCAATCTGCCATGTCAACGCTTTGCTGGCAGGGAAGCTGGACACCAGTGCCAAAGACCCCACTGAAGGTTGGGCATTCTTTTTTTGATTTTATGTTAGACAGAATTTCTACAAATTAATGCTCAGCTACCATTGCTAACCAAGATTTTTTTTTTTTACCTTTTCAGCTCTGCCCAAATGTTCCTAAACAGTGTCTATTATTATACAGCTACACATTTTAATGCATGTCATTTGAAGTTTGTGTAATAGGCAGATGTAAAATATAGATATATTTATATCCTAAATATAGGATATAAAAAAACTTTTTTTTAGCTTTTTTTCCTCCCTTCTCAGTTATATAGATGTATATAACATATTTCAATGGCAAGAAAATTCAAAGTGCTGTAGAAGAAAGACATTGAAGTGGCATAGAATAGATGTAACTAGAATAAAAGTGGATGATTTAAAATAGGAGACTTATACTAACATAAGGATAAAATGCGTGATTTAAAAACTTAAAAAAGAGATTACTGTGTGAATAGTCAGTATCTTACCTCTAGTGATCAAAATACCCTCTGTTAGATAACTATGATCACTATGAGGTGGTTTATTTCTTACATGCACCCATTTGGTGTTAAGGAAAAAAACCCTTTTAATATGTTTTAGTCTGTTTTTATTTATTTGTTCTCAGAACTGGTTAGCTGAACTTTACATTTCCAAATCCTCACTCGGTTCATGTACTGATTGTGTAGCTTTACTCTCTATTCCAACCATTGCAGGGGAAAAGCAGGTGAAAGTGGATGCAGAGGAGGAGCAGAACCAACCTGAGGCAGAACAACAGGAGGGGAGTCCACAGGAGGAGAATATGGAGATAAACACTGGTGATGATGTGGGCCAAGACCCGGAGAAACTGGAGAAGGAGAAACGGCAAGAAGCAAAGGTATCTCTAATGTTAAGTGTTATCACTTTCTGTTAAAATGGTATTTGTTATATCGGCTAAGATATTTTTCTACCTTTTAGGCTCAAGAAAGAAAGGAGAAGTTGGAAGAGAAGAGAAGGAAGTTGGCGGCTGCAGCTGCCCTGCTGGAAGGCAGGAATGCTGATGGGTTGGTCTTGGATTATTTGCGTCTGCATTCAGAATAGTTCATCTACATCACTCTGCTGCTCTCTGCATCAGCCTCTTCTGCCCACTTTAATCAGTGATGGGTAGTAAAAAAAAAAAAAGCCATGGAGGAAAAAAATTATGAGTGATTAAATCATTAACTGTCCATAATAGTCATAAAAATAATTAGCCTTAAGCTGGATGTGTGTGGAGCGATTACTGTGCAGAGCTCGGCCAAGGTGAACAAATTGATTTCTTTGCAGTTAACTCCCACATAAGATAAAAGACTTTCTAGCTTTTAAGATTGATGGTAGAGCTATAAGAAGGTGACATCTGCAGCACAAGTACAACTATTGATTTTGTTTGCTCATAGACTTCTCTATATCATTGAAGCTTTACGGTAGGCAATAAACAATACACAGAGAACAGTTTTCGAATTAGCCCTAAATCAGCTTTTTCTATAGAATCTAATCCAGCTATAAAAACCCATTCTGTGTGGACGATGCTGCTTGAAGCCCTGATGAGCTCAATTACCAATTTGCCTTTCTGCACTTTTCCAATTAAAGAATTTGCTGTTCACATAGCTTTCTTTTGTTAGACATATTTGCTTTATCATCTGTTTTTTTTTCCACACTTGCAGGTTGGTGATAGCAAGTCAGTTTCACCCTTCTTCTCTTCTTTTGGGCTTGCTTAAGTTCCTCGCCCCATCTCGGCCTTTTGTAGTCTATTCTCAGTACAAAGAGGTAAGAGAATGTTGCCTCTTATTTTATTTGTTCAGAGTAAATGGTTGCCAAACATTTATCCTCAGGGTTATAGAGCTTTGCAAAGATGCTTTTATTCCATAAACTTGAAGCATTGTGATGCAGGGATGGTTCTTTAAGCATTACAGGGAAGCTGGGAAGATATGATAGTGAGGGGCTGTAGCTAGATGCAGGACAATACAAATGGAAAACCTGATAGAAGCTGCAAAAGAACAGATTTGGGCTGAGGTTGAACATCTAGTAGGATAACAGCCCTGAATATACATATTTATATGTAACACAAAGCAAACATTTGCAAGAAACACCACAGCCACACTCTGCTGTACTGACTGGTGTGTGGTGGGTACTTGATGGAGAGGAAGTGGTGCTAGACACTCAACTGGCTCATCACACTGGCTGACATTAGTTTCCCTTTTCCATCCCTCTGACAGATAATGTGGGAAATGCTACATTTTGTCACAAGTTGTAGAAAACTGATATGCTCGACTATAAAGGAGAGCTGGGTGATTTGACTGAAAAATCTAATTTGTTAACCTTAAGTTTCAAATAAAAAATGATAAATGACATAAGTTATTTTAAAATCTACCATTTTTTTTTCAACCATCTCCTCATGGAGGTGACCTTCATTTGAAGAGTAACCAAATTCAAGCTAAGAAAGTGCTTGTAAAATAACTCTTCTTCTCAACAAACAATGAAAATATCAAAAACGAAATGTTTGCAGCTAGCGGTGTTGCTCAGTCAGCTTGTATATCAGTTATAGTTGCAAATCTAAGAACAAAAAGTGACAACCTGATTCACCCATTGGTGGGAAAAAACTATGTAGACTGTGTAGCCTTTAGTTTTCCTAATGTTTTCAACTTTGGTTTAGTGTTAGGTTTTTGGATCTCTTCAACGTCTTTGAGGTTGTATTTAAAGCCCCTGTCACAATGACAATTTAGCCAGTGTATTCCTGATGTACCAGAATCTTCTAAAACGCTGTCATACGCTGGGCGTATACATAGAGCATTTATAATGAGTCCAGAACTTTTGTCCAACGACAGCCTAACTTATGCATAACGCCCGGCAGCGTAATGCCCATGAAATGATGCACAGGCCAGTGTCCTGAGCGGGGCAGCGATGCACCTGGAGGCGCCCAGCCTTCATAAAAAGATTTCTTTGATTGCCGTATTAACCTAACTGCTGTTTACCACCCGCCAAAAAAGAAATAAATATGTAAATAAAAAGTAAAAGAAAGAAGGTTTGCAGACAGAGCAGATTCAATGTCATGTCTGCTAGGAAGTTTGTTGATTGTGGCTGTGGTGCGTGAACACAGGGAGGATCCATCACACTCACCTTTGCGGTCACCCTACAACTGGAACAGAGTCAAATTGATTTGATCATTCTGATGTTGGAGGACAGCTAGTATGTATTCCTGTCTCAGCCGGATCCTCCATCTCTTGTGTAACGTCTGTTCACCATGAAGCCTGGAGGATTACAGATGCTTCCACTTATGAACCCCCCTTTATACCAAAACGCTGCCAATATGCCATTTTACAGTAGCTGTAAGTTAGAAAGACGTTCAGCAGTCGTCTGGAACAATACGTTGATATGCATTAGAGATAAGTTCTCAATAAGTCACGCATAAGTTATGCACAAGTTACTCATAGGTTTTGGATAAGCTAGACACAACGACTTATGACGAACTTACACTTAACGATCTCATAACTTAACTGTAACTTAGGGCCCACGTATGAGCATATGCTGGCATATGCCAGCGTACTTCAGTGTGCTCATAACTTACACAAAACTGACCCGTAAGTTATCCACTGTACGGCAGCGTTTTAACCAGATTTTCCGTGCATCAGGCATATTCTGACAAAATCGTCAAGGTGTGACGGGCTTAATGGGACAATGAGGATCAGTCGTGTTTCTCTCATTGTTGTTAAAGGTTTTCTGTGTGTCCTGCAGAGTATCTGTGATTCTAGAATGTCTTCTCTATTGAAAGCAGAAAATCCCCTAATAAGAGACCTGCTGCTTTTTTTTGTTTTTTTTAATACCTCTGTTTTAGTCATTTATAGTCTTTGTTGTTTTTTCTTTTTCTGACATCTGCAGACACTTATTGAGTGCTACACAAAACTCAAAGAACAAGGTGGGACTGTCAACCTCATGATCACAGATACCTGGCTCAGGCATTACCAGGTAAATACTTGTATCCTGAATATTAGGCCAAAAATCCACTTTACTGTTCATTTTTATTAGAAAAATACATTTTATCCATCCCCTAATCAGTCTGTTCCTTTTATCAGTTGCCTATCAATTAATACATTTGTCCATTTATTTATTCATTCATTAACCAATCTATTAATCATTTTGTCTACCTAACTGTAGATTTGCCAGTCTTTTAGTTAATCTCTCCATTAGTCCTCATGTTAATCTATCCTTTTATCTTCATTCGTTGTCACGAGTAGAATAAAAATGTCTTTCCAACTGCCAGTTTGGGGTTCTAAGTAGACAATAGATAGACTTGTTCCGACCTATTTCTATTTCTTCCAGCTGTTCCTTCCTAGTTAATTCCTCCTGACTGGTCTGTATTTTGTCTCCAGGTATTGCCTGATAGGACACATCCTCTGCTCCTGATGAGCGGTGGCGGGGGCTACCTCCTCTCAGGAACAACAGTTGCATTTGACCACTCCAAACCGGCTGCCTCCCGGCTAGCTGAGGAACCGGCACCAAAGAGACAAAAAGTGAAAGACTCTGAGAATTAAACACGTGCAGAGAGATCAGATCTGTCAGGCACTTCGGCACCACCTGCAGTGGTTCTTCTTTATACTCTGTTGAACTGAATAAAGCAGTCCAAGTGTCTGGTTTGGATCCATCGGAGCACCTAATCCTGTCTTTGTCCTCACATCCGCTGAGAAGTGAAAGTGTTAGCCCATAATAGGTCATCTCAGACAGGTGAATTTATTTCTTCAAGTGAAAAGTTTGTGTTAAATCTTTTGGCTGGCCATCTTTTTATTTAAGTAACTTGTCAAACAATGTGGTTAATAATGTGGTTTTATTGGATCTACATCAGGACAGCAGATCTCTCTGGATATGTCGAGGATATAATTAATGGAATGTAATTTACTTTAATTCTAGTAATAAATTCGAGTTTTATTTGGTCCCAGGATAACTCCTTTTATTGAGTGCAAACAGAACGAGCTCTTGAATACATTGCAGTACTTTGTCTCATTGTCACAAAACATTTATCAACATCTAAGCCGTTCCCATGCGCTTTAATTAGACATAACATCACAAAAACACTGAATACATTGGTTAAAATGTTTCAAGAATTCTTTGATTATTTTTGTTTCATTTTTAACGCTAAACACATAAAGTAGGCAGACAGACAGAACTTGACATTATTCACAGATGGTAGTAAAAGGCTTCAGGACTATGAAGTCTTGTCATGCAACTTGGCTGCGATTTTCTGCAGCTCCATGTCCATCGCTGCAAGGTTTTCCAGCTCTTTCTCCTGTAGAGAGAAAAAATTACTTCTTTAACAATTACCACAGAACTGCTACTGAATTTTCTCAAAGCTCCAAGCAGACTGTAACATGTTGAATAATTAAAAATTGAACTCATATTTATCCTTGACCCCAGAACCAGTAAGCAGAATAAAAGATTGTTAGTTGCATTTAATTGTAGCCATATGATCAATGAAAATAATTTTTTTTCGGTGTACACTTGCCAAAAAAAATGGAATAATTTGCATTATGTCAATAGATAAGGAATACAATGCTGTGGGGAATTGCTTGGCAGCAGCAGAGCTTGCATATTCTGCCGACTGGCTCTGCTTTCACATTTGCTACATTATCAATGTAAACTCGTCCCTGCGCCTGGAGGACACCTAATGGGTTAATGGCTCACTTGGGTTACATATTCCCTTATTATCCTGCAAAATGCAGCGCTGTGGAACCAATGAATCATTTTGACGCTGCTTTGGTAATTTGTTTTTCCTGTTCTAGTGTCTGAGATGAGCCTCAGCAGGCAGAAGTCCTCCACAGTGTTTATGAACATCTTTGGGCTGATTACTTTCAGAGACTCCCATCATTGGCTCATTGGTGTGATTACTGCAGCAGTCATAAAATACACTTGTGAAGTCGCACAGAGCAGAAGTGCGGAAGTGAGACAATGGTGCATTTAAGTGAGGCAGAGTCTACACCCTCTGAGACCTGACCTCTGCATTTCGACATAATCTTACTGAGTTCTAAGATACGTCCAGCTGGAGATTTCCATAATTAGCCTTTAGCTCTCAGTAAAACCTTTCTGCAATGAGATGTGCTTTATGGCATTAGAGTGATGAACATATTTACAGAGCTGATATGTTTTGGTTGCACTCTATTCTCAGATTTGCTGTTAAAATTTTTAATTTGAAAATAAGTTCTGCTGCCTTATTGAATATTCAATATAGTGCAAAATATATGTGTAAATATATATACATCTTTACCCAGTATATAGCTAGCTCTTAGTTATAGAAAACATAATTATTATGCAGGAATAAGGTCTTAGCTCTGTTACACTGGTAGCCAAGTAATCGACATTTCGATGTCAAGATTCACCTTGTGTTTTTTTTTTTGTGCAATGACAATAAAGGAAGTCTAAGTCTAATTCAATGATCATTTTGGGATATTTGGTTAAAGACAGCATGTTTGAACCTCATGTGGAGTGAGCACTCTGCTGTAAACCCCTCTTCACCTCCTCTTTGGTGGGGTTGTTAGCCAGCTGGTTTAACTTGAAGTTCAGCAGTTTGGTCAGTTCATCCATCTAAAACAATAAAAGAGAACAAGGAAACATTTTAAATACAATCATTAAAGCACTTGAGGATTTCTATCCATCCTCTAAAATGTTGGAATCCTTCATTATATCCTGCAAAGCTGCAGGCTTTAGCATATAAAGAGAGGCTAAAAGAATAGACTAAATTGATCAATTCTGAGGTTTACCTTGGTTGATGTTGCAGCAGGTTCATCTGAGTTTCTCTTGAACCAGGCAGGGTGGTAATAGCCTCTGTTAATCCAGGGATTACGCTTCTCAAGCAGGTACCTAAAAAATTTAACTAATTAGATGGTAGATATGCTGTGCTAGTGCATACAAACAACTTAATGTTAGTTTGTTTGTACCTTAGCTCTCTGATTATATGAAATCTTTACTGCATATAAGAGAGCAAATAAAAAAGCTATTTTTTTTAATACCTCAGGGCTTCATCTCTGTCTTTTTCATCTGCTGTGTTCTCTTCTGAATCCCCCCTCTGCTCCATCTCTTCCTCTGTTGATTCTTGCTTCTGAATGCTCCCCTTGCTGTGATACTGGTGAGTGGGCTTCATCTTTTCTATCTCTCTATCTTCATGTTCTCTTTTGTCAAAATCCCAATACTCCTGACTGCGCTCTTCCTCTGGTCCTTCCCTGCTGTCCTGTCTGAGCTCTTCATTACGCTTATGTTTCCTCTGGTGGTACCGGCCAGGCCTCCAGTTTCTCTTATCTATTCCATTATCAAAGTCCCAGAATTCCTGGCTCCGCTCCTCATCAGGTTCTTCTCGGGCTTCCTCAGAAAGCTCATCACGTTTGTGTCTCCTTTGGTGAACTCTGCCAGGCCTCCAGTTCCTTTTCTCTCTTCCAGTATCAAAGTCCCAGTATTCCTGGCTACGTTCGTCTTCGGGTTCTTCTCTAGCTTCTTCTGGAAGCTCCTCATCACGCTTGTGTCTCCTTTGGTTAACTCTGCCAGGCCTCCAGTTCCTCTTATCCATTCCATTATCAAAGTCCCAGTATTCCTGGCTCCGTTCCTCTTCAGGTTCTTCTCTAGCTTCTTCTGGAAGCTCCTCATCACGCTTGTGTCTCCTTTGGTTAACTCTGCCAGGCCTCCAGTTCCTCTTATCCATTCCATTATCAAAGTCCCAGTATTCCTGGCTCCGTTCCTCTTCAGGTTCTTCTCTAGCTTCCTCTGAAAGCTCCTCATCACGTTTGTGTCTCCTTTGGTTAACTCTGCCAGGCCTCCAGTTCCTCTTATCCATTCCATTATCAAAGTCCCAGTATTCCTGGCTCCGTTCCTCTCCAGGTTCTTCTCTAGCTTCCTCTGAAAGCTCCTCATCACGTTTGTGTCTCCTTTGGTTAACTCTGCCAGGCCTCCAGTTCCTCTTATCCATTCCATTATCAAAGTCCCAGTATTCCTGGCTCCGTTCCTCTTCAGGTTCTTCTCTAGCTTCTTCTGAAAGCTCCTCATCACGTTTGTGTCTCCTTTGGTTAACTCTGCCAGGCCTCCAGTTCCTCTTCTCTATTCCAGTATCAAAGTCCCAGTATTCCTGGCTCCGTTCCTCTTCAGGTTCTTCTCTAGCTTCTTCTGGAAGCTGCTCATCGCGTTTGTGTCTCCTTTGGTTAACTCTGCCAGGCCTCCAGTTCCTCTTCTCTCTTCTAGTATCAAAGTCCCAGTATTCCTGGCTTCGTTCTTCTTCAGGTTCTTCTCTAGCTTCCTCTGACAGCTCCTCATCACGCTTGTGTTTCCTCTGGTGGACCCTGCCTGGCCTCCAGTTCCTCTTGTCAATATCCCATGATTCCTGACTACGGTCTTCATATCCTTCACCCTCTGATGGTTCATCTCTTCTTTTCTGGAGCGTAATCTTGTGATGATAGTGACTTGTGGGTTTCCACATGTGCTTGTCTCTTTCCTCATCATCCTGCCTTTTCTCCACATCCCAGTACTCCTCTGGTTCTCTTCCATCTTCTTCATCGCGCTTGTGTTTTCTTTGGTGGAACCTCCCAGGTCTCCAGTTCCTCTTCTCTCGTTCTTCGCTTTCTTCATCGTCTTCTCCATCCTCGGCTCTCCTTTCCAACCCTGCCCAACTCTCCTGACTCCGGTCATAGTCGTCCTCTCCTCGTTTGCCCTTTCTCTGATGGAACCTTCCTGGCCTCCAGCCACTCCTCTTCTCTCGTATTTCATCATCCTTATTCCCATCTCTCTTTTCTGACAGAGTCCAGGATTCCTGGTTCTGCTCATCTTCAGGGGTTTCCCTCTTTTCCTCCACGGATTTCAGGAGTTCCTCGATATCTTTGACATCTGGTGTTTTTGCCGTAGGTTCCCCTGCATGAGAGTTATCTTCCTGAGTTACAAACCCCTCAGAGATCTTTTTGTTCACTGGGGCATATTTGACCCCTATGAAGAAAAAACAAATAAGACAACTTTTAAAAGAAATAAATTTGGACTAGATTGTCTTATTTTACAGTATGTTACATTTACAGTATGTTACACTGGCCTGCAAACCTAATCTGAGGTGTTGCACCTGAGAACAGACCAACCCAACCCAGTGAAGGGGAAAGAATAATCATCACTTTTTCAATCTGTTTTTATTCAGCCTTCTTTGCAGTGGTACCCTTTATTAAAATCGGAGAAGCCAACTTTCTTTAGCCATGAAATTAATGAGTCTACCAATCTATAATTTACTCTAAGTGTAAAAACAGTTTCTATGAAGGCTTCACCGGATTGTAACAAGATACTAGAGGAAACAAAAAGGCATCATGGAGACTAAAAAACAGCAGACCTGTTACACACCAGATTATTTAAATCTGGGCTTTAAAATCAAGAATTAAAATACTTATTAGATTTCAATTTTTGAACAAGCAACTAGAACAAGCAATGCAGGTGATACAAAACAGATGTTAACCATAAACACACCATATTTACTAGGGTGTTGTTTTTGTGTCTTTGAATGTGATTAAATGTGGTTCTTATGTAGTTATTAGGGTTGGACATTTATTGTAAAATTTTACTCACACAAAGTTATGAAAACTAAAGATCCCTGTCCTTTCACCTAATCTTTTGGGATTTTTTTCTAACATGTAAGAGAAATGCTATTTGTTTTTTTTTTGTGTTTTAAATGGGGGCAAATTGTAAAAGAAACACACACACAAAAGTGTATGAAAACTTCACAGTATACCCTGTGTTTTGCCTCACTGGTAATGAGCCATTTTAATGTAAAAAAAATTATATACACTGTTATTTTGTTATACACATTCCATAAGTAATGCGGTACTTGAACTGTGGTCTATCAAAAATAAAGTTTTAAGCTCCATTCAGTTAAGCCCAATAAGGGACAAAAACACAATATTTTATACCCGAGTTATATATCCCAACTGACCTGCTTGGAGAATATCTTTGCATTGCTGATCTAAACGAACGTCCGGCTTGGAGAGCGCTTTGGACAAGACTTCAACCAAACATCGTGCCACCTGCAGAAATCAAAGAAATTTTATCATCCTGTTCCCAATAATGACTTAATAATGCAATTATTTAAAGTTTTAAACTATTGTAGCATACCACGTCCTCTCTTTGCCTCTCCTTGCCAACGGGAAGCGCTACAGTTTCTGCGTTAAATAAAGAAAAAAGACAGAATGAGAAGCTGCATGCGCTGCCACTGTCCATGGTGCTGAACTGCTTATAAACTATTATATTCATGCATGTTACAACACGAAACTAACTAAACAAGCCCACTTCATCCTTACCTGCAAGGAGTGTCAAAACAACAATAAGAATAGGTTTCATCTTGTGGAAGAGAAACCGGAGAAAAGGGGACCCAGTTGTACCATCAGCTCTGATTCCTCTGCAGCGGCAGGAAAGAGCTGCGCTGACTGGAAGCTGCAGCCGAGGAGAGCCTTCAAATAAAGGAGGGGAGTGGGCTGGAGGAGCGTGGGAGGAAGACTCGGGGCTCGGATAATGTCATGACTCATTAGACCTGCAAAGGAAAGTGACCTGAGTGAAAGTCGATACTCGCATTAGGTCGATATTAATTCGGGACTAAATTTTTCTAATGTGGCCAGTGTCACGATGCATCCAGGTGACAACTTACACGGTTTTTTAGAGGATGTTGCAGTTGGAGTTTCTATGTTGAGCTCATCATGATATGCCTGGTGGGACAGGGGGTGTTGCATAAAACAAAATCACGAAGACTCTTACATAAACCGAAGCCCAAGCCCTGAACAATATGATAACTTGGCAAAGATTCACACCAGGGACTGTGCTGAAAATTCATTTTTGGGAAAAAATAAGAGATATTATTGAAAAAAATAAGAAATTTTATTTAACCTTCGCAATGACTCTATTATTACTAATGCTAGGAATAATCAACCATTCTAACATAAATAAATATATTTTCCCAGAACTTTTTATTTATTTACTCATTTATTTATTGTTTTTGCACAAGACTGCTTATATAAACACCGCATGCAAGTGATCGATGATACGGCCCCCTACTGGCTAAACTACGCACAGGGTATTCCCTCAGCGCAAGCGGGATTTGACATACGTGTTCTTCTAATTTTTCTTTTTCTATCAATGTGTTGTTTTTGATTTGTTGTTATTTTCCCCAATTTGTAATAGTCAAAAACACATTATTACTGAATATCTACCGGACAAGGAAGGTCAAAGAAACGTAATTGTTTTTTTTTTATACAATCTTACAACCATAAAGAATGACCTGTATGTAAACTTTTGGTTATCAAACGATTGCAGAAATTATTTATCTACAAAAATAAAATAAAAAATAAGAAACTAAAATAAGTTTCTTTTAATAACTATGTATTAGGATTGCACAAGCCCCTGATAGAAACACTCTTTGAATAGGTTACCAGCAGGGTTTACTGCAATCTGCTGCCCCATAAGGCCAGACAACTCTAACAAAAAACAAACAATCAAAAACCCCCTAAGTATGTAAATCTATAGTTAAAAAGCAATGGTGATTGTGACATCATGGTTGTTACAGATTTAAACATGTGATGTCTTTCATTTACATATCACTGCAATTTACTTGATACATCTTATTTTCTCAGATATGTAATAAACCTCCTCAAGTTGTCATAGATACGTTATTTTATGTCAATATCAGTGTTTTTGGAGGACAAGAAAGAAATCCTACATCAGAATTGAAATGAAATGCAACTGAAATAAAACTGCTACATCAGCGTACAGTAAGACCAAATAACAAAACTTAAATAGACTTTTGAAAGGAAATTAGGAAACACAGGTGGATAAAAACTAAACACTTCAATGGAGCCTAAGTGCAACCTGAAGCCAAGATACAGAATTAAGCTAACTTTGGGATACTTACCTTTATTTAACAGGATTTTCAACTGAAAATCAAAATGTAAAGTAAGTTAATTTGTAAATTATTTAATAACTAATCTATTATTAGACAGCTTTATGATAATACTTCCCATAACAAACATCTGTATGCCATAATAAATGCATACATAATTAATCAAATAAATGTATGATAGACTTTGCCAAAAATCGTTTTCTTTTAAGTTATATTCACTTAATCGCAAACTTCATATAATGATAGGAAACTTTAGTAAATTTACATAGTGGATTTAGACCCATGCTCTTAGTTAAACTGAGCACCCATACAAGTGATGAAACATAAAAAACAATTAACTGCTATTTAATAAGAAATATGATAGGAATGAAGGGCTGATTTAGACCCAATATATTTGCAAAGATTTTAATTGTGTTTGAGACTTTGAGGCCATATCAATAACATTTCTCTTTAACTTTATTTTCAATTAGATTGAACAGCTCAGACTGGAGCGATTTGAAATGAGTGGTGCCAGAGCTCGAACACACTAAACTCAGCCATGGTTTACAACATCTAATATGACAGCTCATGGGATCATCTCTTTGGCACTTCATGTCTGGACTTTGCGCTCCTTCCTGCAGCCCCCTGTTACAGTAGTTCTCATTGCAGGCACCTTCAGTCACAGAGAATTAAAAACCATGTTCAACCTAGTAGAAATCCAAAAGTTAAGATGATTTAGTGTGATGATGAAAAAACGTGATGATGAGATTTTTACGCAGCATCCATTGACCTTTTTGTTTGCTAGAGCACGTACAAATTCAATTATGTCTTAAAAACCAAGATACCAGAAACTGCATAGGCTGCAAGCAAAATGGGAGCTCTGTGTTCCATAAATCTGCCTGGGTGCACTGCTCAAGGGTACATGACTGGTTACAGATATTCGTTACAGCAGACAGCCTTCACTGGAGTAAAATAAAAACTGGTCTTAGCATAAAACTGTAAAGTCAGATGTTCTGTTGTGCATTCAAGCAGTTCATGTTCATCTAAAGCTGTCGATCGCCTCAGTCTTTAGTGTAATTCATAGGAGGACTGCAGATATATTCAGTGGAAAAGGTCTTGTCCGAGTGGTCCACATGATGGATCTACTTAGTATAAAAACCACTGAGCCACTAAATCAGAACACTACTCACACACAACAAAATCAGTGTGTTTCTGTGAATGTGTGCATTATTGTATGCTTTTCTGTCTCTGGCTCTCAGTCTGTGCTCTTCTTCCAAGCCTTATGAATAATTTAGTGAGCCTTAAAGAAATATAGGAGTATAAAGGTGTTGCAGAGGAGATTTGAAATGTAGAGCCCAATGTTTTTGCATTGTCTGAATTAGGATTAGTTTCTGTTTGGAACAACAACGCCACCCCTTTAATCCTGGATCAGTCTGCAAACATGAACCAAAGACAAGCAGCTGACAATGGAAGCAATGCTATTGGTGCATGAAAGCTTTGGGTGAGCTTTGATCTTTGGTCATGACAAGCTTTGTGTTTGGCTTTTAACAACCGGCAAACTTTGATGACATTTCAAAAAGAACAGACAAGCATAGACACTGCCCTCTTTGGTCGGAGGCAATTCATTTCTGGCTATTTGATCTGATTTTAAGTATATATTTGCTGCAGCGATTGCAAGTTTTTACCATGGAGCCTTTTGGTATTGTTCACTTAAATCAATTCGATAAAAAATATGAAACACTCCACAGATTCAACCAAACATTTGGTGTTTAATGTAACAGTGGAGACCAGATGCTGAAGCGATTGGAAGCAGATCTTATTTCTCTGTTCATAAGATGAAGATTTTAGCGACAAAAAAGTTCAGAAAATCCTTTATGTGGAAATACAGGTTGTCTTAAAGAACACTTCAGTTTGTTATTTGTTAAGTCTTTTTTTATTTAGATAATATTCTTTTTTAAAGTAGCTGTAAACTAGTTTTTGTAAAGTAATTGAACGCAAGTATCTGTTCGGTTTTAGAAATCAAAAAGTTTAAATGTATATGTGGCTCTAAAAACACAACTGAAAGAAAATCATCAACAAATCCTTTTCATCTGTTACTAACTTTACAGGTGCTGGTCATAAAATTAGAATATCATGAAAAAGTAGATTGATTTCAGTAATTCCATTTAAAAAGTGAAACTTGTATATTATATTCATACATTACATACAAACTCATATATTTCAGATGTTTATTTTGTTTAATTTTGATGATTACAAATGACAACAAATGAAAATCTCAAATTCATCATATCAGAAAATTAGAATATTGTGAAAAGGTTCAAAATTGATGGCCCCTGGTGCCACACTCTAATCAGCTAATTAACTCAAACCACCTGCAAAAGCCTTTAAATGGTCTTTCAGTCTAGTTCTATAGGCTACACAATCATGGGGAAGACTGCTGACTTGACAGTTGTCCAAAAGACGACCATCGACACCTTGCACAAGGAGGGCAAGACACAAAAGGTCATCGCTAAAGAGGCTGGCTGTTCACAGAGCTCAGTGTCCAAGCACATTAATAGAGAGGCGAAGGGAAGGAAAAGATGTGGTCGAAAAAAGTGTACAAGCAAGAGAGATAACCACACCCTGGAGAGGATTGTGAAACAAAACCCCTTCAAAAATGTGGGGGAGATTCACAAAGAGTGGACTGCAGCTGGAGTGAGTGCTTCAAGAACCACCACACACAGACGTATGAAAGACATGGGTTTCTGCTGTCGCATTCCTTGTGTCAAGCCACTCTTGAACCACAGACAGCGTCAGAAGCGTCTTGCCTGGGCTAAAGAGAAACAGGACTGGACTGCTGGTGAGTGGTCCAAAGTCATGTTCTCTGATGAAAGTAAATTTTGCATTTCCTTTGGAAATCAAGGTCCCAGAGTCTGGAGGAAAAGAAGAGAGGCACTTCATCCACGTTGCTTGAAGTCCAGTGTAAAGTTTCCACAGTCAGTGATGGTTTGGGGTGCCATGTCATCTGCTGGTGTTGGTCCATTGTGTTTTCTGAGGTCCAGGGTCAACGCAGCCACATACCAGGAAGTTTTAGAGCACTTCATGCTTCCTGCAGCTGACCAACTTTTTGGAGATGCAGATTTCATTTTCCAACAGGACTTGGCACCTGCACACAGTGCCAAAGCTACCAGTACCTGGTTGAAGGACCATGGTATCCCTGTTCTTAATTGGCCAGCAAACTCTCCTGACCTTAACCCCATAGAAAATCTATGGGGTATTGTGAAGAAGAAGATGCAATACACCAGACCCAACAATTCAGAAGAGCTAAAAGCCACTATTAGAGCAACCTGGGCTATCATAACACCTGAGCAGTGCCACAGACTGATCGACTCCATGCCACGCCGCATTGCTGCAATAATACAGGCCAAAGGAGGCCCAACTAAATACTGAGTGCTGTACATGCTCATACTTTTCATGTTCATACTTTTCAGTTGGCCAACATTTCTATAAATCCTTTGTTTTTATTGGTCTTCAGTAATATTCTAATTTTCGGATATGATGAATTTGAGATTTTCATTTGTTGTCATTTGTAATCATCAAAATTAAACAAAATAAACATCTGAAATATATGAGTTTGTATGTAATGTATGAATATAATATACAAGTTTCACTTTTTAAATGGAATTACTGAAATCAATCTACTTTTTCATGATATTCT